AATATCATGTTTTTAAAAACGTTTCTAAATCACATAGTCAACTTTGGGATGAGAGAACTCATTTTATTTTTTTAATGTGAAAGATTTTTGGCAATGCACATTTTTGAAGGAAAGAGAGCAATACCACAACTCTACCTAAATTTAGATCGCTCAAAGAAAAGACATATTGTTTTTAATTAAGCCAGCAATAACCCATCGAATGGGCCCTTTATGTTTTCACCCAGCTACCAAGAGATATCTTTCATTGTCTGATGGTGTGCTGACATTGCCCTTAATTCTGTAGGTATTCTAGACAGCACAATCTGTCTGCTTCCTTTGCCTCTGGAAAACATATTTTCTGAAGGTTAATAAACAACCCTGCATATCCCAAGCCCTGAGATCATTTATCAGATTGTGATGTCTTACAGACTCTGAGAGTGGCATGCAGTTTAATCATTTTAACAGTGTCTGCTAAAAGTGCCTCAAGAAGCCTGCCTAATAGGTTATTTTGTTATATAATTTTGTTATCTGATATATTTTTTGTCTTTGCTAGCTTGATTTAGACCACTGTGTAGTAACAGTATAGAATCCCTAATGAATACTCACATAAATGTCCCTGTAGCAGGCAAAGAAATAATAGGGTCCTCAGTGGGACAGTAGTGGGACATAGCTGTGTCCCATCTATTTATTATAGCACACGCTGTAGCCCTGCTATTTTTTATTGTGTCTAGCTCCGCTATGTTGAATCTATTTTTGCAACGGATTCAGAAACCTTATTCATCTCAGCAGCTCATGTTAGTGTTTATCACCGTCTTGTTAACAGTTGTCACTTTTGAGTCACCAAGAAGCAGCAGAAGCAGTCATGCTGTACTACTGTCATCCCGTTTAGTGTATTTCCAAAGAAATGCAAAGGTGGGACATAGTGATGAAGGGAATCAAAAATTATTTAAAAAGTTCAAATGTGCTGATCTCATGTCATTCAGTTAACAAATCCTTAAGTCAAAATTAAATAATGAAATAAATGTTCCATCTACTGGCTCATGTTGTTCTGTAAAATGTAGAACTGTGGTGTCCCCAAAACATTTAGAAAAAAAGTTGGCAACGAAAAAGTCACCTCATGTCTTGACCATTTACACTGGTTTTATTTGTTTTATTTATCAATACATATGCTTCCCATCATTGACAAGGAACAGGCTGGTATGACAGCAGTGAGCTTATGACATGTACAGTCAGTGAGAAAATAATTGTACAACTATGAGGAGATCCAATAAAACCAACATAAATAAGTCAAATAAAAATTAAAAGATGAAAATAAAAAGTAATAAGGAAATATAAGGTGTTTTTCTGGCCTTTCATGTGTTTGTCATTTTGAAAGTTACAGTTTAAAGGAATTTTAAGAAACATTTATAACAACCAGAATTTATGGGGGAAAACATTTTTGGTATTACATTTCATATTTATATGGGGTTCAATAAACAACATAGAGGTCTGTAAATTCTGAATCTTTCAGACTTACTGCTGTATACTGAGTTTTGGAGGAATGACATGTATCTTCATTGTGTGTGTTTGTTTGTGTGTGTGGGTGGGTTGGTGGATGCGTGGTTCAGGTTGTTTGGTGTAACAGGAAACTGTGCAGCCTGCAGCAAACTAATTCCAGCCTTCGAGATGGTCATGAGAGCCAAGGAGAATGTCTACCACCTGGACTGCTTCGCATGCCAGCTCTGCAATCAGAGGTGAGTGACTGGACCTCACCCCTGACACTCTCCCTTATGGAAGCAAAACTGCGGCATAGTGAACTTCAAGTGCTGTTCGTAGTTGAAGAAAAATCACATAGAATCACTTTAACTAATGACCAAGTAGACACATGCAGGGCCTTATGGGAACCTGCTGGACCGTGCACAGTGATAATAATCCTGTAGGGCGTCAGCCTAGAACTACACATTTACTTACATACCCATACATATGCTTCCCATTATTTGTCATTACTAGGCCTCTACCAGCATCCTGTACAGAGAGTATGGTCAGAGATTTTAGGATACTGTTTCTTGCCACAGCACCAGAAACAGAGTAGCTTGGAGCCATTGAAATTAGCAAGGGTGGCACAGCAGCATGGTAGTGTTGTTGTTGTGTTCGAACCCGGGTCGACCCAGTTCCTTTCTGTGTGGCGTTTGTATGTTCTCCCTGTGCCGGTATTCTGGCTTCCATAATCCAAAGACATGCAGCTTAGGTTAACTTGTGACTCAAAATTGTTAGTGTGTGTGGTTGTTTATGTGTCAGCCCTGTGACAAAATGCACGGAGCCCATAGTTAGTGGCCATGTGTCGATTTGAAATAGTTTAAGAATATCTAATGATCTGTCTATTTCAATTTACAGTACACACATGAAGGGAGATTCACAGTGACACAACATCAGTTTTGTTCTTTTATTTATTATTTTTATTTTAAATATCAAATGGAAGGGCCTTCATAGCATTCTCCCACTACCTTCCAAGAATTATTAGTCTGCATGTATCTCTAGTCTCATTATGAATAATTGTACAAATGGATATGACAGAGCATACTTTCAATCTCCCACCACAAGCATTTATGGTGATGCAAGTAATTTACTAATGTAGCGGAAATGACTACACTTGTGAAAAATGAATATTAATAGTTAATATTCAAATGCCTCATTAGATTAAGGCACCAGGTGGTTATAGTTAAACTAAACTATTAAACAGTTAGTTAGAGTAATCAAATAAGTCTAAGCCTGAAAGAAGTGAATCCTTTACTAGTCCAGTAAGCCTATTTACTCTAAACAAGAGAGACCCAAAGATGGCATAATGAAGCCAGTAAATAAATATATTTACAATATTTACAAAGAGAAAATGATTGGGGGAATGATTGAGAGAAGTAATGCAAATGGTAAATTTGTGAATGCTCTGATGAATGAATGACCAGCCTGTTGTTGCTGACTTACTGCCAGCAATGCGAACCAAGCTCCTGCTCCAGTCATACAGGGACCGGACGGCCCTGAATAGAGGGCCCCGGACCCCATACTCCCGGAGCACCCCCCACAGGGCACCACGAGGATGGTGGAAAATTGTTATCCATCCATCCATCCAACCATCTTCCTCCGCTTATCCGGAACCAGGTCGTGGGGGCAGCAGTCTAAGCAGAGATGCCCAGACTTCCCTCTCTCTTGACACTTCCTCCAGCTCCTCCAGGAGGATACCAAGGCGTTCTCAGGCCAGCCGAGAGACATAGAACCTCCAGTGTGTCCTGGGTTTTCCCGGGAGCCTCCTCCGGGTGGGACATGCCCGGAACACCTCCCTAGGAAGGCGGCCAGGGGGCATCCAAATCAGATACCCGAGCCACCTCAGCTGGCTCCTCTCGATGTGGAGGAGCAGCGGTTCTACTCTGAACCGGGTGACCGAACACCTCACCTTATCGCTAAGGGAGTGCCCCACCACCCTTGGGAGAAAGCTCATTTAGGCCGCCTGTATCTGGGATCTTGCCCTTTTGGTCATGACCCAAAGCTCATGACCATAGGTGAGACCTGGAACGTAGATCGACCAGTAAGTCGAGAGCTTCCCCTTGCAGCTCAGCTCCTTCTTCACCATGACGGACCGGTACATCGACCGCATTACTGCAGAAGCTGCACCGATCCACCTGTCAATCTCCTGTTCCATCCTTCCCTCACTTGTGAACAAGACCCCAAGATACTTGAACTCCTCCACTTGAGGCAGGAACTCTCCACCAACCTGAAGGGAAAAAGCCACCCTTTTCCAACTGTCCTGGTTTGATGGAGCCAACAGGACAACGTCATCTGCAAAAAGCAGAGACGAGATCCTGTGGTCCCCAAACCGGACTCCCTTCGGCCCCTGGCTGCACCTAGAAATTCTGTCCATAAAAATAAGGAACAGAACCGGTGATAATGGGCAGCCCTGCAACATGCACTGGAAACAAGTCTGACTTACTGCCAGCAATGCGAACCAAGCTCCTGCTCCAGACATACAGGGACCGGACGGCCCTGAATAGAGGGCCCCGGACCCCATACTCCCGGAGCACCCCCCACAGGGCACCACGAGGGACACTGTCAAATGTCTTCTCCAAATCCACAAAACACATGTGGACTGGTTGGACAAACTCCCATGAACCCTCCACCACCCTGAAGAGGGTATAGAGCTGGTCCAGTGTTCCACGGAAGATTGTTATTCTGGTCAGAATTTGAGCTAGATTCTAGATCTAAATTCTGTGGTCTAATCACGACTATAAAGATGGAAAATAGCTATCGATTGCTATAAGTTAGAGACTTTAATTTGGTAACTAATAGCAAATAACTACAGTTTTCATGAGTCAGCCAAGAGTGTGCTTAGCTGTTAGCAGGAGTTAGCCATTGGCTTTGGAGCTTCCACATGACCAGGAGGAGAGTAGCGCTGGTTTGGAGGCTCTTTGGGCCATAGGCGAGCATGATCCAGAGTGCCAAGATGGTCTCAGGCTGAGGATTAGGGAGACATCTGATTTCTTCTTTTGCCTTACATTTACATAGACATAGTGTTCAAGTTGTGGCGCGCGTTTACTTCAAGTCACTTCCTGTCAGTTTTCAAAATAAATGTATTATCAACTTGTGTTGCTAAATAATAACACTTCCTGTGGTGATGTGAGCATGCAATCTACCTAAACATATGAATTTAACACCAAAATATCCATAGGAGGAACAAACCCTGAGGAGGCTTGAAATTTTTTGTTTGCTGTCTGTTTCTGAATGACTCTTTTCTCTTTCTTTGAACCAAACTGATAAGCGGTATTAATTCGTATAGGTGTGTCAGCCAGAGCAGAGACTTCATCTGATTGGCTCAGGAGTCCGCAGGCCCAATCTTCTAAGTGGTCGAGATTCTTGTGCCTATGACAGTGATTTCTGATTGGTTCTTCAGGCACAGTGGAGAAAAGTTCATGCCCAGTCTACAAGTCTGGAACAGAAAATCTTTTGAGAATTAAATTTCTTCCACCATGGCGAAATAATACATAATCTCAAGCAACAAATAGTTTGACAAGAAACATATGTGGATCATTCTGTGGAAAGAAAAGTATGGTTAACTTTGTAAAGACTTTATAGCTTTGAGAATAAATGACAAAAGCAATCAGTTATCAGCACACAATCATTGAAATAAAGAAATCAAAATAACACCATTTCTTATGCAACCCTTTTAGCAGTACTGAAGAGTTAAGATGTCAGGATTAACAAAGTCTCTGATGATAGTTGATTTGTCAAGCATCTGAAATAATAAGCATTTATCATTTCTATTTATAGATTTTGTATAAATGTACGTAAAACATTAATATAATCATTTCTACTGTTATAAGAATTCTAAGGAAGAAGTCTTTGCAGTGACTAGTTATGTATGTCCATCATCAGTTTGACTCAAACATTTCAACCTTCTTATGGCTATTTCACACAACTCTTGGTTAACAAAGTTTCTAAAGACATTTCTTTATCCAAAAGAGTGTGTGTTAGGTCAGTTTATAGCACTTTTCACATCCTCGTGTGGGGATAAGGGAGGTTCCCTTTGCATTCCTGTGTTTTGGTACCATGGAGACTGATCAGATAGTAGAGAACTGAGTATCTTGGACTTGTTTGAATTAATTGAAACTTATTGTCTAAGGTCAAAAGTGTGAGTCCAAGATGTGCATTCTAATGCAGTAAAATCACAAGAGAGGGGTTTTGGGTCTCTGGAGACAGGATCTGGGATCTCCATCTGATAAGGAGAGACAGTCCAGAGAGCAGTTTGCAAGTGTCAGTCTTCAGCTGGTTCTCAATGCCTAAAATAAAATATTCTGGAGTGCATCACAGGATCCATGTTCCCAGCAGTAGTCATGTTACTATTCTGTGAAGGTTTTCTGAGAATGTTCCTTGAGCTAATTAACACACCAGAATGTTATCAAAGATTTTCTGAAGGTTACAAGAAACACAGTCAAACAGAGATCCTTAAGGGAATATCAGGAATTTAGGAGCCAGCTTGGTTCCTCTTTTTTCTCTTATCAGTTTTCCCCCAAACTGGACATTTACCCCCCTATCCCCACCCACCCCAAACTGATTGTGCATGCTAAAGGCAAAGGGTCTGGTTACACACAATTAGCACTTAGTTATTGTCTTGCCACTTCAGCTGATTGCACCAGACAGCCTCTCTTAATGGAAGAAGTCAGCTAATCTTCATCAGCCAGACCCAGGCAGGCCAACTCTGCTCTTCCACATTTAAGTGTGAGCAAATCTTTCTTTTTACATTAGGACAGTTGATGAACTGTTGAATAAAACTGACAATAGTGTTTCACAAACTCTGCTGTGGCTCTGCAGGCCCTGTTTCAGATGCTGAACAGACCTGGCCAAGATTTATGGTGTGGCATAGCCTTAAATTGAAGCTATACCTCACCTCTGAGATGTTTCCAATTTTTTATTTATACTGGTGGAGTTGTTAAGGGATACCTGTAAATGAATATAAATTTTAAAAATCGCTCTGTTTGACTGAGTTTATATCCCACAGGAACAGCATTGCTAGAGTACCTGGAAAAAAAAAATAGCACAGAATTCAACGGGAATTTAACCACCATGAAATCAAACTTTGATGTGCTATATATATATTTATTTATTTATTTGTTTGCAAAGGATACATTCCAGTCAGCCTACTGACAACCTGTTGTTCTGAGAAGAACAGTTCTGAGGTTTTATGCCACAGTAAAATTTTGTTTTTGTAGAA